CAGGCCGGCGGCCCCGCCAACGGCGCGCCGGCGCTGCCGACGGCCGAGGCCTACCGGCGCTGGTCGACGGTGATGCAGAACGAGTTCGACGCGCTGCGCTGGCGCCTCGCGCGTGGTGAGCCGGGGTTGATCGACCCGTATGCGGCCACCGACCCGGCGGAGTTCTTCGCCGTCATCAGCGAGCTGTTCTTCGAGCGGCCCATCGAATTGGCCGCCGGCCACCCGGCGCTGTATGCCGAGCTCAGCGGCTACTACCGGCTGGACCCGGCGGGCTGGGCCTGACCCCAAAAAGACCAACCCCGCGTCACGCGCAGGGACTGCGCGCGGCCGCGGGGTTGCGGGAGGTCGTGAGGCTCAGAAGCCGAGGCTGGCGAGCAGGTCGTCCACGTCGTCCTGCTTGAGGGCCTTGTCGGGCGTCTGCACGCCGCCGAGTTCCTCGGAGGCCGCAGCCGCGGCGGGCGCGGGCAGCGACGCCACCAGATCCTTGAGCGGCGGCTCGGCGCGCTCCAGCATCTTGCTGACCTTGTTGATGACCTGGCCGGAGAGATCCTGGAAGTCCTGCGACATCATGATCTCGGTGTGCAGCGACTTCTCGCGGGCGGCGAAGCTCGCGGCGTCGGACGCGTAGGCGGCGCACAGCTTCATCAGCGCGCGGGCACGGTCCTGGCTGATGTTGCTGGACAGCGCCAGGCGGTTCAGCGCGTCGGACAGTTCGCGGCCCTTCTTGCGCACGGCCTCGGCGTCCTCCTGCGCGGCTTCCACCAGGTTCAGCACCTTGGTGGCGGCCTGCTCGGTCATGCTGCGCACGTACTGCAGGCGCTCGCGCGCGTCGGGCAGTTCCTCGACGACGGTGTGCAGGACCTGCGCCGCGTCGGCACGGATCAGGGTTTGGATGGACGCATCGGACATGAAAGGCTCCCTGGCTGCGCCCGACCACAACGACGGCGCTCAGGCCAGTTTAGGACCGCCACCCCGCCCCGCACCATGGCGGGCCTGCGCCGAACGCGGCCTTTGCGAGGCCTATGTCACGGCCGATGCAAACGTGTTCAGCGCGGCGCCAGCAGCGCGCGCAACGCGGCGGCCTGGGCACCGTCC